TTCTTGTTTTATCACACCATTAGTTGATTGATTGTGTGGCCAGGTTACAATTTAAAACACAATTGATTGGTTAATCTTGCCTTAAGTGAAACATGTAGCAGGGCCTGAATTATATATCATTACTGCACCTGAAAAAAAGAAAAGTAATAAGCTGGTCACTTGGAGATATAATGCATCTTGATTTATCATGAGAGGAAACAAATTAAATAAAAAAAAAAATCTACACTATTGTAGAGTTTGATTAAATACTGTGTTCAGGAAAAGTACAAAGGAAATAAAGTGTAGCAAAGGGCACTTTCATGACTCATGACTTAAGAATCATTTAAACCCTCCAGCTTCAGATATCCAACTGGTAAACCATCACTGCTTCAAGCGTAGCTCCCATATGTTACACATGTATGTATAGTCACAGATCATATGCAATGACCAGATGCAAGCTACTTAGACTTTGTGTTTAAACTTCCAACATCAGTATAGCTACCAGAATAAATGACGACATGACAGAACGCATTATATTTTATTGTAGGAAAATATCCATTGTGAAAAGACTTAAGGTGTGTGGAGAAGGATGGCATGTTTTCTGGGCTCCATAGCACAAACGTACTTAAAAGCACAACTCAGAAACCTAAAGGATACTTTAAATTTCATGGATATTCTTTTACTGTTTACATATCCTAAGATGGGAGCGTCAAAGATATAGCCTGTGAGCCAGATCCAGCCCACCAAGCCACACATCTGACTCACAGGCTGAATGGTCCTGTGCACTGTATACAGTGCCTACTCCAGCTCATGTCCAGAGCTGCAGAGCAGCCACCAAATACAGCATAGCCCTAGAGTAGTCACTCTGGGGCCATGTTGCATGTAGCAGCAGCTCTGGAGCTGTGCAGCACAGCCCTGAAGTGGCTGGAGCAGGATTGGACAACATATTGCACCCACCCACTCTGCTCCACGACATGTTCAGGAATGCAGGGCAGGTCTGGGGGTCTGTTCCAACCTGCAGACCTGCCTTACCCCACTTGTCTAGTCCAGCAGGCTGGATAAGTTTGACATCCCTGTCCTAGGGGAATGGTGAGAAAGAGCTAGAATGGGGGAAATTACGTTGCATCTGTCCTTACCCTACCATCAAAGAGGTTCTATGTTACTGTTTATGAAAAATAGTTAACAAAAACTGAAATACAGTTGCCCTCTATCATTTAGCATTTGAGGTAAAAGTTCTAGAAGGGAAATTTAGCCTACAGCAGTTAAGGTCTTCAGGATCTAATGCACAGAAGTTTGGGTTCTGTGTCAGTATCTCAACACATAATAGAAAAAGTGAGATTTAATCAATTTTGAGTGATGCTGAAATTTGTAATCTAGATCTCAAAGCTGGATGGCATCTCATATTCAGATTTAAGTTCCAAAAACAAAGCTGTCTACCATGATAAAAATATGTCTACCATGAGTTGTGTTTCAAATCTACGCTCAGTGCAGACCAAGAGAGCAGACAGAAGGCAAGTCTCACCACATATGGATGTTTTGTCCATGGCATTAATTCTTGAACCTATCTTGCATCTTGGATTGTGTCATGTGTAGCACAATCCAAACTGGCCCACAGGCCTGCATGCTGAATGCTGAGCTGGGACTAGTATGTGCTGCATGTGGCGTGTGAGACTGGAGCTGACACACACAGACTAGCCCCATGGCTCTCATCCAGCCCTTTGGGGTTGGACACTGTGACAGGACGGGAACCTCGGGGTCGCCATGCTCCCCCTTTAGTTACCCTCTATACTGCGCTAAGCTGCCTATCCACACCTCGCTATATTGCCTGCCACATCTTTGGTCTTATGTGTATTATAGGGAGGCTACCTTTAGTCTTCTTGGCCCAGTTCTCCTGTCCTAGACTGGCCCCGTTTTCTGGAATGGGGTTCAGGTGCACTCCAGCCTTATGGGCTCTGCGTGGCTCCAGCCACCCCTGTACCACGCGCCCCAAGCCTCGCGGATGTACCAGACGTTCTTCAGTCTTACTGGATGCCTTCTCGCTGCCCACTCTCTGGGGCTTCACTGCCCACTCCCTGGGGCTGGGCCTCCCACACTGTTGTGGTTCCCCTATGAGGCCTCCTCCATCCCCTTAGAGCCTCACCCGGTCCTCTGGTAGACAACAGCAAACATTAAACACAAGCCCCTGGGCTATAACACAAAGCTAAACCGCTCGGCTAACCTCCTTTGAGTCACACTCCACGGGTGCTCCATCCTTCACCAGCATAACAGGCTGCTTGCGTTCAGGCCTTTCCCCTTTGCTTAGTTAGGCAGCACTCCTTCTCTTTAGCCGCCAGCCGAGACCCCCTCTCTTGGCCTCCAGACTGTGCTTTATAGGAGTCAGCCCTGCCCCTTCCGGTCAGCTGACTCAACAGGTGTGGGCCCCTAGCTCCTCCCGGTTGCCCTGGCAACTGGCACCTGGTGGCCATTCCTGCTCTTCAAGTAGCAGGCACCTTAGTGGCCTGCTACAGACACCCTTGTTTGAACATAAATGTACTGCAGTAAAAGATCTTACAATATGAATTACAGACCTCCACACCAGGGAGATGACTTAAGAATTCTCGGGACAGCTCTCAGAGGCGGTGCGCTCAAAGGACCTGGCTGTCATGAGTGACCTAAACTTCTCAGACATCTGCTGGGAGGAACAGGTGGCCAGGTCTGCCTGTTCACATAAGTTTCCAACCTGCTTACAGGACCTTCACCTAGCACAGGAGGTAAATGTTTCCACTAGGGGAAATGCCTTACTAGACTTGGTGCTGGCCACAGGTGATGACCTGGTGGGGGATCTGCAGGTACAAGGTAACCTAGGGGATAGTGACCACCTATTGATAGAGTTCACTACCTGGCAAAAGGTTGGGAGGATAACTAGTAAGGCCAAAGTGCCAGACTTCAGGAAGGCCAACTTCAACAAACTCAGGAGATTAGTTAGGGAGGGACTGACAGGAAAAAGCATCAGAGAGATGGGAGTCCAAGAAGGGTGGGCGTTTCTCAAGGGTCTGATCCTGCAGGCACACAAAGGGCCCATCCCAGTACACATAAAGAGAGGCAAAAAAGCAAAGAAACCCTCTCGGTTGAGCAGGGAAATCCAGGAGACCCTGGAGGGGAAAAGAGAGGTCTACAGGCTGTGAAGGCAGGCCGCAGCCACCAAGGAGGAGTATACCTGCTTGGCTCAAGCTTGCAGGGAAGCAATGAGGACAGCAAAGCAGGAATGGAGCTTAGGCTGGCAGCAAAAGTTAAGGATAATAGAAAGCCATTCTTTAAATACGTAAGAAGCAAAAAGAAAGTGCAGAGTAACATAGGGCCCCTTCAAGATGGACTAGGGCAACTGGTAACAGATAGGATGGCCAAAAGGGAGCTTCTAAATGATTTCTTTGCAACTGTGTTCCTGGACAAATACAAACATGCATCCCAATGGGACTTTAAGTAAGCGCGGGATAGATACCAACCCACAACTGTTAGTGCTGATCTAGTAAAGGGGCACCTGGAGTGGTTGAATGTATTTAAGTCAACAGACCCTGATGATCTTCATCCTAGGGTACTTAGGGAATTAACTGAAGTCATAAAGGATCTGCTGGCGCAACTGTTTGAGCACTCGTGGTACTCCGGACAGGTCCCAGAGGACTGGAAAAGGGCCAACATGGTCCTTATTTTCAAGAAGGGGAGGAAGGAGGAAACACGTAACTATAGGCCGGTTAGCCTCACCTCTATCCTTGGCAAGACCTTTGAGAAAATTGTTAAGGATTACATATGTGGGGGACCAACAGGTAAAATAATGCTATGGGGCAATCAGCATGGGTTCATAGCAGGCAGATCCTGCCCAACTAACCTGGTTTCTTTTTACGATTGGGTCACAAAATGCTTGGATGAAGGAATAGAGGTAGATGTTATTTACTCAGATTTTAAAAAGGCCTTTGACACAGTGTCGCACCTAATTCTTATAAATAAACTAAGCAGTTGCAATGTAGATTCTTACACAGTCTGGTGGAAAGTTGGCTTATGGGATGCACCCAGAGAGTGGTGGTGGTGGATGGGTCAGTTTCTACCTGGAGAAATGTGGGCAGTGGAGTCCCCCAAGGCTCTGTTCAATATCTTCATTAGTGACTTGGACGAGGGAGTAGAAAGCACACTGTCCAAGTTTGCAGACGACACTAAACTATGGGGGGAGGTAAACAAACTAGAGGGCACGGAATGAATCCAGGTAGATTTGGACAGATTGGGGAAGTGGGCGGAACAGAATAGGATGCAGTTTAACAAAGATAAATGCCATGTGTTGCATCTAGGGAGGAAGAATCATCAACACTCCTATAGCCTAGGAGGTACTACTCAGAGTAGTACAACTGCAGAAAGTGATCTCGGAGTCATAGTTGACTCCAAAATGAACATGAGTCACCAGTGTAATGAAGTAATAAGTAAAGTTAACTGCATTCTTTCTTGCATAAGTAGGTGCATCACAAACAGGTCTAGGGAGGTGATATTTCCCCTCTATTTGGTATTGGTCAGGCCGCAGCTGCAGTACTGTGTCCAGTTTTGGGTGCCGCACTCCAGGAGGGATGTAGATAACCTGGAAAGGGTTCAGAGGAGGGCCACCCGTCTGGTTAAAGGCCTACAGAAAAATCCCTCCAAGAACCGACTGAGGGACCTGAATCTTTTCAGCCTCTGTAAGAAAAGGCTGAGAGGTGATCCCGTGGCTGTTTACAAACTCATCGGGGGGGAGAGCAGGAAATAGGGGATACAATGTTTACCAGCGTGCCCATTGGGGTAACTAGAAACAATGGCCACAAACTGAAGCAGAGCAAATTTAGACTGGACATCAGGAAAAATTCTTTACAGTGAGGGTTGCCAAAATATAGAATATGCTATCAAAAGAGGTGGTGCTGTCCCCTTCCTTGGAGGTATTTAAGAGGAGACTGGACAAACACCTGGCTGGGGTCATCTCACCCCAGCACTCTTTCCTGCCAAGGGCAGGGAGTTGGACTCGATGATCTAATAGGTCCCTTCTGACCCTAAAATCTACAAAATCTATGAACTAAAAATTTTGAACTGAAATATCTGAGACTGGCAAAAACCAAGCATATACGTCTCCACATGCTCGATAAAGCCTAACCTCCACCTTTTCCTTTTTCCTAGCATAGACACAGACATTAACACACTCAAGAGCACAGTGATGCTAAAAAAAGTTTGCAATTGCTCTTGGGTACCTAGAACTGAAATTAAAGTATTTGTATTTGTTAAACCTGAGGCAAGCTTCTCTTTTTGTTACAGAGGAGTTGGACACAGAAGACTCAGTTACAGGCCAGACTATTGTGGGCACTGAAAAAAGAAAATGGATTCATGTTGTTGGGGAAAGGTGGTGATGGACTTGAGGTGGTGATGGACCTGGAGCTCCAATTATGATGGTAGCCCAGTTAACAGGCTGTTTATTCTATAAACATATTGAGTTAACCCTATAGCTGTGTGTGAAAAAGCAAATGGAAAAGAAAAGAATAGTTCAAGTTAGACCAACTCTCAGTTACTCCAGTTGGGTAAGGGACCACTGGTCTTGAAACCCATGGCTCAATTCTAAGTCTAAAAGATCTTTAAAAAAAATCACAAAACAGAACAAAAACAAAATACCTAACTACTCAAAGATGAGGACCAGAGGACAAAATAATAATAAAAGAGTCAAATGGGATTTGAAGGTATCCTCTTCTTAGGAAGTTCACAGAATCATAGAAAAGATAAAGGTAGCAGGGACCTCATAAGGTCATTTAGTCCAACCCCGTTCTAGACAGGACCACTCCTGTCTACATTATCCCAGCCAAGTGTTTGTCTAACCTGCACCTAAAATCTTCCAGTGATGGAACTTTTACAAGTTAAGTAACTCATTCTTGTGACCAACCACCATCAGGATTAGAAAGTTCTTCCTAACATCCATTTTTAATTTTTCATATTCAGAGGAACTTGATTCAAATTCAAAGACTTTAATGGTGTGCCTGGATAAAGCTGGACTGTAGGATACCAACCTTTAAGTAAGACAGATATGCAAGTTGACATTTTGTTGTTTTAGGATTCTTTTTCTCTAGAAAACTCTTACTGCTAGAAGAAACAATCATCTTGTTTGAAAATGTCCAAGGGTCACCAATTCCAAAAAGGAAGAACCTACGTGCACCACCCAGTTGAAGGTTCCAGGTAAAGACAACGGATAAGCAGCATACTCTAGTCCAGAGCCTGATCTAAGAGCAGAAGACTTGCAAAATTCAATCAAGAAAGCCTATGCACTCAGGTGCGCCAGAAAAGGATGACAAGAGAGAAAAAAAACATGCACTACAGCTTATCCTGTAGCTAGGACCAGTGGTTTGATGTTGAGTTTTGCACAGCAGGTGAGCCTAGTTTGCAATATACCCAGAAAACTGTATGTAAGACTGTTTTACTGGAGCTCTGAATACCATGATGTAGCTAAAACAACTTCCTACTGCAATCTTCATCAATCAGGTATTATTGTATTTTTGTAAAAGATCAATTCTTGATTTGCTTGATTAGTTCTTTGCATTTACCCAATTAAGAAAAATAGGTTTTAAAAGCTATCCTTTTGGCTGAAGCAGAGTGTAAAATCCATTGCAAATCTTACGCAACTTCAAGGGGAATCAATTCATTCACTAGGTGTTTGTATAGCATTTTATAAAACGTAAAATATCATAAGTGCTTTTTAATTTTGGCATCTTTTACTTCTAAGCACATACCAGCTGCATAACTTCTAACCTGTATAAATATCTGTAAAATAAAAACTACAAAAAAAAAATTCACTGAAGAATGCAGCCACCACCAAAGAAAAAGACCAACAGATACGCAGGAATATTAGTTGCAGAGTATGTAATAAAGGTATATTTAGTAGTTTATATTTCTGTCATAAGAAAGGAAAATGTCAGAACTAGCCATAACATTATATACAGACAGTGATGAGGTGTTTGGAAAGCAAAAAGCCTAGCATATATTCATCTACTTATAATCTTCAGTAGCTAGCATCTGACTGAGTACAGTTTTTAACTACATGAACAGATTCCATTTTTCAAACAATAAACTTACATGATGTAATGTTTTCTACACAGAGCAAATTATGGAAAAGTAGTGCTGGAAGGTAACCTCATGAAGATCATCTAGTCTAACACTTGCTCAAGGCAGGGTTCTCCTGGACTAAACTGTCTCAGTCAAGCGTCTCCGTCTTACTTTCAAAAATGTCCAAGAATAGATATTACACAAGTGCTTTGGGTAGTTGGTTCCCCCCTACCTACACTCATGGTGAAAAAAAGTTCTTCTTAATATCCCATCTAAATTTCTACTGTTTCAGCTTGAGATCATTGCTCCTATTTCTGCCTCCTGTGGCCACAGAGAACAGCCTATAATCATCTTTATAATTACTCCTTAGGTATTTGAAGACTTATCAACCCCTCAGTCTTCTCTTCTCTCCAGACTGTATAATACCAGTTCTTTCAGCCTTTCCCTGTAAATTGTTTCCCAGACCTCTAATCATTTGTGTTCATCTTTACTGGACTCTTGCCAACCTGTCCACATTGTTCTTGAAGTGCAGGGCTCAAACCTAGACAAACCTCCAGGTGAGGGCTCAGCACTGTTGAACAGAGTGGAAGGATCACTTTCACTTATTTGCAAGTGACACTTTAGCCCTAATAGAAACCAGTATACTATCAGCTTTTATTGCAACAAGAGCACACTATTGGCACATATTCAGTTTATGGTTCACTGTAACCCCAAATGGTGTTATGCAGTACTGCAGCTTGGCCAGTTATTCTCCAGTCAATCTTTGTGCAATATGCTGCATAGGAACATTCTGTGCACTTCCAGAAATTTCACAATCAGATATGAACCAGTATTCTTTTTACTTTGACTCAAATTATTTTAGTAGTTCAGTATACATGTATTAATGTAGAAAGTGGGAGATTTTAGTCATGCTCTCAAAAAAAGGTTTAGTTTACATATGAATGCTGTATATAGACTTCATAAGAGTATGTTAATTATTTTAAATGTATGAGTATTTCTGATCCAGAAGTACCAGTCAACCAGAAACTGATTTCTGCACAAGTTAAAAGAGAAACTTTGTGTACTGTCCTTTGTTAAGGGCTTGACTGTACTTTAGAGGTATACTGTCCTCACAGTAAAATGCACCAGATCTCACTGATGGATTTTAAATCGTCAATTCATATTTACTTGTTTTCCTTAATTTTGTACTCAGTAATGCTACTCACTCACTTGCCTGAAGTTGAAGAGACGCTGAAATATCTTGCTGAACTGGAGCTTTTAAACATAATACTCACATAACTGACATTCACAAATCACGCCAAGCACAATGTAACACAACTATATGTGTGCTCTACCTAAAGTCACCAAAAACTTGTATTATGCAGACTTGAGATTAGCAATGTGAATCAGAAAGCACACAGGTGTCCGCACACACGTGTACACACACACACACACACACACACACACACACACACAGGCTGAGCAAAGGTATACACACCTTTGCTTTTACTTGGTACTTCATGTTCAATTAGGTAAAGCACATTTGTGAATGTGCTTTACATTTCAATTTTAGTTTTTAAAGGACATTTGTGCATTTTACTGAGTTGGGGAACTAACTAAAAAACACCGTCTAATCAGTCTCTACAGATAATTTTGCTAGGGGAGTTTAGAGGTTTCCCTAATATTGCTTTTAATAGCATATGTTACTTCACTGTAACAAAACATTATGTCAGGGGCTGTTACAGGCAGCCCAACCTGGAACAATTGCCTAGTGGGCAACACCTGCCTGGGGCTTTGACCAGCAGCCCTAAGCCTGTTAATTACTCTGACTGGCTACTATCTGCACCTCCTGATGGTCTGCCGGAACAGCAGCTTCCCCATTTAGCTCCAGCAGCAGCAACAGACTCCATGCTAGCCAATATGTCCTGCTGAAGGTCTACTCTGGCAAGTCTCTGTGATATGTTACTCAGGGTTCCCTGTTTTCTAACCCCAGTTTGGCTTTGTTCCTAGACCCTGGCTTTTGGATTTCCCCTTGGGTCTGGTAATTTGGTCTCTGCCTCCTCCTGAACCCTGACTTGGCTCATGGACTTGGACCCTGGCCCTGGATTCCCCACTGAAACTGGTAACTCAGCATCTGACTCCTGTGCTGACCCTGCCTGTATTTCAGGCTCTACCTCAAGATTTCCCATTGGATCCAGTAACTTGATCCCAGATTTCTGCCTCCTGGCTTGTGGGTTGATTCCTGCCCTCACCTCGTGGCTTAAGCACTAGATCAGATC